ATTAAAAGAAGAACCTTTACTCTTCCAACTACTTAGAAACATAACATTTCTTGCAAAATATTCAATAGTGAAAATTATATGAAAGAATCTTAATCTCTCAATGTTCACTAGCAATTGTTGTAATTCAATAATAAGGTAAAGTTCGAATTGGCGAAATCTGAAGCAATAGAGAAAGGAACAAACAAAGTTACCACCTGAGAGATTATAGGTCTAGAGAGAGCAGAAATCGCAGGAGCATGAGCTCCTTCCTCTAAAAGATGACGCTTCCGCAGAGCTCTCAAAGCGTCCTTTATGGCTTCCATAGCTTTCTCCTCCTGTAACCTGAAGAAAGTTCCGACGATCATCGGAATCGATATTTCAACAATCGTAAAAAGCTTATTGAACAAGAAAGGAGATCAAATCAAAACTTACATCTCTCGATCAGATCAAAAGGAGTCGTGGAGTTAGGAATTAGGGTTTGAGTATAACAGGAGACTTTGATCGGAACCGGTGGCGACTTTGAGTTCCACCGCCGCTTACGATTCTCAAATTAGTAAAATACAAAACTGCAAGTGAATTTGGGGATTTTTCCACAAAATTAGTTTATTGAAAATTGATTATAATCAGATTTTGTATTAATGATTGATTATCTTAAAAGATTTATGATCATTATTTTGTATTAATTGTACCGTTTTACGTGAAAGCAACATCAAATATCAGTTTAATGGGCCCATAAAAGCCCATTTACATTTTTTCCGTGACAAGAGTAGATCACGGCATGAGTCTATGTGGCAACAAATGAATCCAACTCTGAAGAATGACGAACAGTCACGAACAGATCATCAGAGAAGAAACTAGAATCTCAAAAAAAAAAAGTTTATAAAAAAAATGAGAGCTCAGGTTTTATTATTCCCAACAATAACAGCCTATGGTCGCCTCTATTGTGCGCCACGTAGACTTCACCGCTACAATTCATCATCATCATCTCAGTTTCTGAATCTCAGTCTCTCTCGCTTCTCCGGTGGTCTCTTCTTCCACATGGAGGTATGTTCCCTCTCGCCATGAATCTCTGCTTCATTTTATAAGCTAGACGATTTTTAATATGTTGGTGTGTTAGCAATTCCAGAGTGGAACTAGCTCGAGTGGCAAGAAATCAATGGTGGAAAATTTGAAGCGGTATGGTGTGATATCATCGAAGAGAGTAGCTCAAGTTATGGAAGCTTTAGATAGAGGTCTCTTTGTACCAGTTGGATCTTCAGCTTATGTTGATACTCCTGTACCTATAGGTTATAATGCTACCATTTCTGCTCCGCATATGCATGCCACTTGCTTGCAGCTTTTGGAAGATAAGCTCCAGCCCGGGATGTGTGCTTTGGATGTTGGTTCAGGTTACTTTTACTCGGTGTTATTGATATGTTGATATCGAGTTTGGGGACTCGGGATAACAATCAGGTTATGTTTGTAGGAACCGGGTACTTGACTGGCTGTTTTGCTTTGATGGTTGGAGCTGAGGGACGCGTTGTTGGTGTGGATCATATCCCTGAATTGGTTGATATGTCTATCAAGAATATCGAAAAGAGTGTCGCTGCTTCCTTGCTTAAGAAAGGATCTCTCTCCCTACATGTTGGTGGTAGGTACCCGCTTTCCGACTTCAAAACATTGTATGTTTCACCCTCATGGATACATACTGAGGACTAGAACTTTCCCTTATGAGCAAATTCATCTGTTGACTCATTTGTATCTTATGGCAGATGGAAGAAAAGGTTGGCAAGAGTTTGCACCGTATGATGCAATACACGTAGGAGCAGCGGCATCAGAAATCCCGCAGCCTCTTTTGGATCAGCTAAAACCCGGTGGACGAATGGTGATCCCACTAGGAACCTATTTTCAAGAGCTCAAGGTAATTGATAAAAACGAGGATGGTTCCATCAAGGTACATACTGAAACTTCGGTCAGGTATGTGCCCCTCACTAGCCGCGACGAACAGTTAGGAGGATTTTGACAACAACAAAGAGGAAACTCTACATACCACGCCTTAGTGTACATATAAAGGTTGTGAATGTTCTGTAATATGTTTTGATGGGTAATAAAGAAGATATGTTTACAAAAGCTGAGCTCAAGTTTGATTTCACATAATCGCTAAATTGAAATTGCAAGGGAGTACATTCAGAATCATAAATCACAATATTAACACTCATTGAGCTATCAAAATCCACGCCTTGGTCGTTCCTCGGCCACGTTCACTTTAATTGCTCTGCCTTCCAAATTCTGCAAACACAGAGAGCAATTAGATAACAGAAAGCAAAATGTCACAGAAGATAACCAAATAAACTCATGGAGGAGTGTTTTCTTTTACCTGTCCATCAAGAGCAGCAATGGCGTCGTTAACTTCATTCTCATTCGACATTGTAACAAACCCAAACCCGCGTGAACGACCTGTCTCCCTATCGTAAACCACTCTAGCATCAACTACTTTCCCATGCTCGCTAAACACTTGTTGTAAACGATCATTATCCACATCCCATGGCAGATTTCCAACATAGATCCTAAACGCAGCATCATATTGACGAGGTTGTCTTTCCGGTCTTGATCCTCTAGGTGCTGCTATGTTCACTGTCAGAAGCCTCCCATTCACTTCCTACAGTTGTATACCAATCAACTTCAACATCTTTAATCACTATCCAGAAGATCCAGAAGATTAAGAAACAAGAAAATGATTAAATTTGCTTACATAACGATTGAACTTCTCAACAGCTTTCTTTGCTTCTTCAACTGTACTCATTGTTACAAACCCAAATCCACGACTTTGATCAGTGTCCCTATTGTATATAACCTGCAAAAACCAGATTTCAAAGCAGACCCATGAAACAAAATCATTCCTTTGAGACAAAGCACACTATAAAACCAGATTTCAGAGCAGACCCATGAAACAAAATCATTCCTTTAAGACAAATCACACAATGAAACCAGATTTCAAAGCAGACCCACGAAACAAAATCATTCCTTTAAGCCAAATCAAACTATAAAACCAGAAACAAAATCACACCTATAAGACAAATCAAACTATGAATTCGAAACCCTAAACTAACTTTATCAAGAAGTAACAATGCCACAGAAACAATTAGTTCCACATTTCTCAACCATTTGGATTCAATAGTCAAAAGACACAAATTAGCAATTTACCTCTGAAATCTCAACAGTACCAGCTTGCTCAAAGAGCATAGCCAAAGCTTGACTATCAACATCGTATGGCAAGTTTCCGACGAACAATTTAGCCTCTTCCGGTGGCTCCGGGAATTTGCCACCGTCTTCAGTGTCGAAACTCTCATCTACAGTGACGGAAGTACCTCCGATGCTTCCATCCTCACCTTCTTCTTCCTCAGGCCAATCCGAAGTTTGGGAAACAAAAGTAACAATAGGAGATGAGTTACGGAGAGTTTTGGATTTGAGAGAGAGTGGGAGATTAATGGGTCTTGGAGGTAATGAAAAATTGGAGTGGTGAGGTTTGGAGGAAGAAATGGTGGAGATAGAAGGAAGACAGAAAAGGGTCGAAGAAGAAGAATTCGCAACAGCTAAAAGCTTTAGGCTTGAGGTTAGTATTGAAGAAGTCATTTTCTGATTTTGGAGAGATTACAGGTGAAGAGGAAAAGAAGAGTAAGTGAGAGAGAGGGGTTTACCGAAGTGAGAGATTATAAATTTTTAATAAATTTTTTCTCTTAAAGTAATTAAATAACAAGGAATATAATCAATTTCTGGGTCGGTGTTTGGACTTTATGTTTCATAATTAATGGGCTTTTTGTTTTATAGATAAGCCCATGGTTATGGTTTGTTATATGGTTTTTACTTTTTGCATTTTAGATTTTGTTTTGAAAATATGCACAAAATAGCCCTCTGCTCAGTAATTTATCATCGTAGATTTGTGGGAAAGCGCAAGTATCAATTGTAACACATTTTTTTTCGAGTTATATGTGATAGCATAATATATCTCTTTTTATCATGGTAATTTTTCGTAGTGCATTTTTATAAAAAAAAAATGATATCTCTCGGAAAAACATTTTATTCAGTTTAATATCTCTCTTTATCATGGTATTTTATAATAATACACGTTTTTATTATGATCATATATGATTTCTTTAAAAAAAATTCTTATTATTTAGAAATACACGGTTTTTATTAAGATAACATGTGATTTTTTTAAAAAAGATTTTATTCAAGTTAATTTTTTCTATAACAATATTTTTCTTAAAAAAACACTATTTTTAATATTTTTTTTTTAATCAATACGTTTTTGCAAATATCATGTCTTTAAGTTCGATATAATATGTGAAATATAAATGTTATATGCTGTTTTGCAAAATCTAACGAAACTGTCTCGCCTGCTGTTGAACTTGCAACAAAAAAATAATGGTTTTGTTATTTCACTACTTCTTAAAACATGAATCAATGACTATTTTACAAGAAAAACTTTTCTCTTTGCTATTTCCTTAATTTTTGTGTCTAATTTGGCTATTCCTTGATACTACTACTCTTTTATTTTTTGGTCTTTGAATTTTGCATAAATAAAAGAAATAGAAATAGATAAATGGAAAAAACTTTATGTAAACGGTCATCTCATATTGGTATATTTCCTTGTTTTAAAAATATTATGTAACAATGTTTTTTTTTAAAAAAATCACTACGTTTTTGCAAATATCATGTCTTTCAGTTCAATATAAATATATAATATATTAAATATAAATGTTATATGTTTTTTTTGTTAAATCTAACGAAACTGTCTCGCCTGCTGTTGAATTCGCAACAAAAAAATGATGGTTTTGTTCTTTCTTCTTAAAACGTGAATCAATGACTATTTTGCAAAAAAAAAGCTTTTCTCTTTGTTATTTCCTTAATTTTTGTGTCTAATTTAATTTGGCTATTCCTTGATACTACTACTCTTTTATTTTTTGGTTTTTGAATTTTGCATAAATAAAAGAAATAGAAATAAATAAATGGAAAAAACTTTATATAAACGGTCATCTGATATTGGCTTATATTTCCTTTTTTCACATCTTTCGTGTCGGCGTAACACACAATAAAACCCAAATCGAATGAGATTTCTTTCCTCGGTCTCATCACTTTTGCTCGCCGATTCAGATCTTAGCGACAATTGTTCTTGCTATAGGTTTCAGATCGGCTAAGGTTTTCTCTGGACTCTGGTTTTCGAGAAAGGTTCTATTTCTGTAGCTAATAATTTTCATCCATGGATATGCAATCGAGAATCGAGTCAGAAGATGTTAGGGTTAGGGTTTCTAATGATGAAGATCGTCAGAGCTCTCGACGTCATCTGCAGATTGGTGGTGTCGCTGATGGAGACAAGATCAGAAAACAGACCTCCTCTAATGAAGAATTAGCCAGGCCATCGAAAAAGGAGGTAGATAGGGATGCTTTGGGAAAACCTAGTGGAGTTTATATTCCTCCGTTCAAGCTAGCAAGCATGTTGAATGATGAGAAAGATAAGAGCAGCGTAGAGTATCAACGTCTTACATGGGATGCTTTTCGTAAAAGTATTAACGGGCTCGTTAACAAGGTTAACGCAAACAACATCAAGAACATAATCCCTGAACTGTTTGCTGAAAATCTCATCAGAGGAAGAGGACTTTTTTGTCGTGCTTGTATCAAGTCTCAAATGGAATCACCTGGATTCACTGACGTTTTTGCAGCGTTAGTCGCGGTTATCAACTCTAAATTCCCTCAAGTTGCTCTGCTTTTAGTGAAAAGAGTTGTTTTGATACTAAAGAGAGCTTATATGCGTAACGATAAGCCTCAGTTTCTTGCTGCTGTTAAATTCGTAGCGCATTTAGTAAACCAGCAAGTCGCTGATGAGATCATTGCTTTTGAATTACTCACTGTGCTTTTGGAAAACCCGACTGATGCCAGAGTAGAGATGGCTGTTGCGTTTGTGATTGAGTGTGGCGCGTTGCTGCAAGACGTTGCACCAAAAGGATTACATGGGATTTTTGATCGGTTTCGCGGTATATTGCATGAAGGAGAGATAGATAAGAGAACTCAGTACTTGATTGAACGTCTCTTTGCTATTGGGAGAGCGAAATTTCAGGGATATCCCGCGGTTCGCGCTGAGCTTGATCTCGTGGAAGAAAAGTATTCACATGATGTCTCTCTTGATGAGGAAATTGATCCTGAAACTGCTCTTGATGTTTTCAAACTTGATCCTGACTTCGTAGACAAGGAACAGAAATACGAGGCGCTGAAGAAAGAGTTACTTGGTGAGGAGGAATCCGAGGATGAAGATGGCGGCGGCTGTGATGCTAGTTCAGAGGATAACGATGCGGAGGAAGAAGAAATGAGAATAAGCGATGAGACAGCGACTAATCTTGTTAATCTTAGGAGGACAATTTACCTAACCATTATGTCCACCGTAGATTTCGAGGAAGCAGGTCACAAGTTACCTAAAATTAAGCTTGAACCAGGTCAAGAGATGGAACTATGCATAATGCTCTTGGAATGTTGCTCTCAAGAGAAAACTTATCTTCCTTACTACGGTTTGTTGGGTCAGCGTTTCTGTATGCTCAAAAAGATCCATCAAGCGAATTTCGAGAAATGCTTTGTTCAACAGTATTCAATGAGTCACCGTCTTGAGACAACCAAGTTGCATAACGTTGCTACGTTTTTTGCTCATTTACTTTGCAGAGATGCTCTCCCTTGGCATGTTCTTGGCTACATTCGGTTAACGGAAGACTACACAACTTCCTCGTCGCGTATCTTCGTTAAGATCCTTTTCTTGAAATTGTCAGATGACTTGGGGATTAAGATACTTAATGAGAGGCTTCAGGATCCAACAATGGAGGAGTCACTTGAATCTATCTTCCCTAAAGATAATCCAAAGAACACTAGATTTGCAATCAACTTCTTTACTGCTATTGGTCTTGGAGGCATTACAGAGAATCTTAGAGAGTATTTGAAGAACATGCGACATCAGAAGCAAGTTGCGGAATCATCATCTTCTTCTAGTTCGGATAGCGACATAGAGAAGCAGAAGCGAACAAGAAGATCTTGAGACTGCTTTCTAAATTTGTTATCTCCACCAAAATTCTTGAAATCCTAGTTGATATGATCCAGCTGGAGAACAAGAAGCTTTACTTGTGTGACAAGTTTCAACATTGTTTCCTTTTCTCTAGTTTCAACATTGTTTCCTTTTCTCTATTGTTCATTTTCCTTTTTGTTTGGTTATTCGATCTCTATTTAAAGAGACTCACATTCTCTTTTTTGTTTCAGCTTTTGATAATAAACATTTTTTGTTTCAGCTTTTGATAATAAATAATATTGAAAGAACTTTCTTCTCAAACCATTCCTTGATTTCGATATAGAGAAAGACACTACTTCACGGACATTCGAGGTGAGTTAATTTCTACTTTTACTTGTGTAGAAAGCAAGGGTTACATTATTTCAAACCCTAATTAATATCTAACTTACTTTCGTAGCTTTCTCTTCTGTTAGATTGATGTCAGAAATCACAAGAGAAACAACAATGATCTTCGATCTCCCACAAAATCTGATAGAGGAGATATTTTCAAGGGTTCCGATGATATCTCTGAGACAACTACGGTCTACATGCAAACGATTGAACAACCTATTCAAACATCGGAGATTCATCAAAAAGCAAATTGCTTATGCCAAAGCTACAAGGCAGTATCATGTTCTTATGGTGGTAAACTTTAGGGTTTATGCAATGTGCTCCTATATCCATGAAATTAACAAGAACGTTGCTCCCTTGTTTAAACGTGGACTTAACCTAATCGATCCTGATCGTAAATCAGAAGTCGATTTATCTCAAGCCTTTCATTGTGATGGTATATTGCTATGCTGCACCAATGGAAACATGTTTGTGGTTTGGAACCTGTTTTCAGGGAAAACTAAATGGATCGAACCGAAGAATTATCTTAAGATAGAAGAAAATGTCTATGCTCTTGGATACGACAACAATGAATTGTGCCATAGCTACAAAATCATGAGGTTTCTGCATAAATACCACAAAAGATTAGAGATCTATGAGTTTAGCTCTAATTCATGGAGGAATACTCGTGTCACCATTCCTAAAGGCTGCTTGAAATCTCGTGGTGTGTCTTTGAAGGGAAGTGTTTATTGGTTGTTTAAACTAAGAGAAGTCAATGAGTACTCTCTACTTAGTTTTGATTTTTCGACGGAAAGATTACAACGTTTGTGTGTTCCCTTTCATCAAGAAGCAGGTTGTTCCAAAGAAGATTGTTTCAATGAAGATTGTGTCCATGATACTATGGCTCTATCGGTTGTTAGAGAAGAACATCTTTCGTTGTTATTTCAGAGCGGAGTGACACAAAAGATGGAAATATGGATAACCACTGAGATTGAGACCACATCTGTGTCATGGAACAAGTTCTTAACAGTGGATTTTGAACCTCATCCCCATATGTTTTCGCGTGGCATGAGTTTTTTCATTGACGAGGAGAAGAAAGTTGCCGTTTGTTGTGAGAAAGTCCAAGAGAATAATATATTCAACAAGGTATACATTGTTGGAGAAGATGAATACAAAGTATCTCCGGGTTTTGGTTTTCATGAGTATAGAGGCATATATAGTTGCCCAACTATGTTTGGTTATGTTCCAAGACTACTTTAAATCTAGCAACATTATTTCTTTTGTTATAGAGTCAAAGACTTTTTTTTATTGGCTCAAATTATGCTTTAATATACTCCAAATTGTTAGCTCTCGTTGAGCATGTATAATCTTTCAATAGACAGATTTCACTAGAAAAATGAACCTGTGAATACCTTATGCTGTCTTTTCAATTATAGTTTGGCCATTCCATTTATTTTTTCTCAAAAAAGAATTAAAAAAATCGTCGGATTATCGGTTACACATTTTAGAAGCAAACGCAATTCATGACACTGCATCCTCTTTGTTAGTGATGTGCGTGTTTACTGTGTGTGTCCGCGTTTATCTTTTGTTTTCCTTTGCTTTTCTCCTAATCTTTGTTAAGGCTTTTTCCCAAATATCAGTTAAAGCACATACACTTCCCACCCCTTTCCTTCTTTTTCTTTCTGAAATTTAGCATTCATAGTCCTCTTTTGACAAATAGTATCATCTTTCTTAAATTTGAGATCTCTTTTTAGTCTTTAGACAACAGTTATTGTAATGTCTTTTAATTGAATGACATAAGTTAGGCCAAAATAATGAGTTCAAACTTCAAAAGCGTTGTTGAAAGTTAAAACCAGTGACTAAAAATGAATTGTAATGGATCGGCTCCGGAAAACCATAATCATTAATTTGATATTAAATGACAAATGTTAAACCAGTTTTGAACTGTATGAAACTATCAATTGTGAAGATCCATTTCTTTATGTGTTTTTAATGTAGTTTATCTTTATACGTTACAAATAAAATATTATGTGCAGATAGATTTCAAATAAATAAAGGATATTGAAAAAATTACAATAGCTAACATAATTCTTACTAATATACTGTATTGACAAACAAAAGAAAAAGAATATAAAGAAACACACGAAATGTTTAGTTTCGAAATAGAAGAAAATGATTACTAAAAAACATCACATACGAAACAACTAATTCGTTCTCTTATTATATATCGTTAAAAAAAAAACATTACATAACTAGTTTAGTCATGCTTTTCCAAATTATCATATGGATACATATTTGTAAAAGAAAAAAAAATATACATAATCACTATAATTGACCATAGGTAGGTTACATCAATAAAAGAGTTCCTATTAAAGATGAATTGTTGCGTACAAGTTGTGCTTTGATCAATTATCAGTATACGTGGTTCATATGAAAATGTTAGTTTACACTTATAATTAAATCATCTCATCACCGAATGTTTCCCAAAATCATCAATTATTGTTACCAAAATTTAAGAAAAATTAAATAAAATGAAAGAGCTTACTTGTACCATTAAATCAACATAAAGTTCAATTATAGTTTGATCTTTATGTATCTCCATTTATTAATGTATCCATGTCATTAACCTTGAAATCTTTGTTGAATCCCACAAGTAATCCTTTAGCCCCTTTTTGGTATTTTTCATTACATATCGTCATCACAATAGTATCTCACCAAAATATATAATCCCTATATAAACACTTTCTCTTTAGTCCTTACCATCCACAAACTCAATCTCAATCACAAGAAAAATACAAAAATCACCATAGAAAAATATGAAGCGATTTATTGTTCTTGCGCTTTGCATGCTTATGGTTCTTGAAACCACAAAGAGTTTAGATTTCCATGAAAAAGATGTGGAATCAGAGGATAGCTTGTGGGAGCTATACGAACGGTGGAAGAGCCACCACACAATTGCTAGGAGCCTTGAAGAGAAAGCTAAGAGGTTCAACGTGTTTAAGCACAATGTGAAGCACATCCATGAGACCAACAAGAAGGAAAATTCTTACAAGCTCAAGCTCAACAAGTTTGGTGACATGACTAGTGAAGAATTTAGGAGAACATACGCTGGTTCAAACATCAAACATCATAGGATGTTTCAAGGAGAAAGACAGACCACAAAGAGCTTCATGTATGCAAATGTTGATACTCTCCCAACCTCCGTTGATTGGAGAAAGAATGGAGCCGTAACTCCTGTCAAAAACCAAGGCCAATGCGGTAAAACTCTTCTTCTCATCGATGCTTCAATCTAAAAGAAATATGTAAAATGAGAACCAAAACAAGATTAATTAGGTTTGTGGTTATTACAGGGAGTTGTTGGGCGTTTTCAACAGTTGTGGCTGTGGAAGGAATCAATCAAATAAGAACGAAAAAGCTGACATCACTATCAGAACAAGAGCTAGTGGACTGTGACACAAACAAGAACCAAGGATGCAATGGAGGTTTAATGGACCTTGCTTTTGAGTTCATCAAGGAGAAAGGAGGACTCACAAGCGAGCTAGTGTACCCTTACAAAGCTTCTGATGAAACTTGTGACACAAACAAAGAAAATGCTCCGGTAGTTTCAATCGATGGACATGAAGATGTTCCTAAGAATAGTGAAGTTGATCTAATGAAAGCTGTTGCTCATCAACCTGTCTCTGTTGCAATTGATGCTGGAGGCTCAGACTTTCAATTCTACTCCGAGGTAAAAACAGCACACAACACACAAACTAACTAAGTTCAAAATTTATCAAACTTTTGTTTGTCTTAACGCATGGAATGGTGTCATATAGGGAGTTTTCACGGGGCGATGCGGAACAGAGCTGAACCATGGAGTTGCGGTAGTTGGCTATGGAACGACGATAGATGGAACAAAGTATTGGATTGTTAAGAACTCATGGGGAGAGGAATGGGGAGAGAAAGGATACATAAGAATGCAAAGAGGGATTCGTCATAAAGAAGGACTTTGTGGTATTGCAATGGAAGCTTCTTATCCTCTCAAGAACTCCAACACTAATCCTTCTAGACTTTCCTCGGACTCACTTAAGGATGAACTCTAAAAGCTCTTTATATTTACTTATTTTAGATTAAAAAGACATTAACAAATTTGTTTAGGATTCTTGTTTGATTTTTCAATATATATCTTCATCGTTAATAGGTTGTAATGGTTTTCAATGTATGAAGTTGATGGGAATCGTTTGAATTCATTAATGAATAAATGGTTTTACGTTAGTATCCATAAATCAAAACCAAAAACCCTAATTTGGATTCAAGAAAGCAGTCTTCAAGATCATCCCACTCGATTAATTCTTTAAAGGAAATCTAGCGCGGTGAATAGCAAAGCAAATATTCCGAGTCTCTATGTGCCTAAACATCCAAACAGTGACAAAATCGGAAGTCATTAGAAGACCACATTTTGCAACAAACTCCTTCCATCCCGTAGTTAATACAGGTGTTTTATCCCCATTCCAGAACTTGAACTTCATCTGTTGAACTTTTCCGTCTGGTCCATACACCGAAACATCAACCCCCTTTACCGGATTCTCTGATTCTTCTAGAAAAGGAAGCATCTTCTCCTTCACTTGCTCCTTAGATAACATGAGCCTGCTTTGATCTTTATCGACGTCGCTCGACATCAACTGCTTCTTTATCGGTTTGCTGAATTGCCTCGTCACCTCATTATCGCCGAATATTTCCTGTGGATCAATTTCAGCTTTGTACCATACCTCAATTGACCTCCGAGTCTCTTCTGAAAAGTCTTTGATATTTATTTTCATGATGCTCTGTTTCTTAACCCTCTTAGGTTGATTTTTGTCAGATACTTTTTCTTCCCTCTTCCTAGACTTCTTTTGATGAGCTTGGCTTACTTGTAATAATGGAGTGGACGCAACCTCATCATCTGTATCATCTTCATCATCTATATCCTCTTCATCATCTGTATCTTTTTCTTCTGGTGACTGTCTTCGATATCGAGGTTGATATTGGCTCAACTCTATCAATAATTCTGCAGCCACGTTAACTTCCTTTTGTGTTAAACTTGTTGTTTCATCTGTTAAAGTCGCCATGATCGATCTCTCACGTTCTCTCTATCTTTTCTTGCTTCTCAGCTACGTATTAAGGGTTTGTTTTTTCTTCTTCTTTCTAGCAAATCAATATCCTTTTATACTTAGGTTTTTCCATTTAAATTGTATTTTTCTTTTATTAAAAATAACATGGAATATATCAAAGCAATTTCTGGGTCGGTTGGACACTATGTTTCATAAACGATGGGCTTTATCCTGTTAAATGTGTCTTCCACCGGCTTATACATATCAGAGGATTCCTTAAACTAATATCTCTCAAACTTGAACAGGTACATATGTATTTCATCCCAATAATTCATTGATCAGTGTCTTTGATCAGGTTATTTTCCAATTCATCCAGTGTCTTCTGTACTGTTTATCTCAGTTCCATCGCCATTGGGCTTCTATTCCACCGCACCCTTTATGGGATGAACCGAGTTCAGTTCCTGAATGTGTTTTATCGAGTCTTGAAACCATTGAATGGGTAAACTATGAAGGAACAGAACCAGAGAAAGAATTGGTGGAATTTATCAAATTTATTAGGAAAAGGTATTAGAACGTCTTTTATTTCTTCAAATTTAGCTCTTTGAATATCTCATGTTCTTGTTCTGGCTCTCTGTTTACTAGAAGAAGCTAAAGAAACTTAAGAACTATTATGTGTTTCTTCGTTGGTTTATCTGCATCATTAAGCTTGTCTAATGTTTACTTATAGATTGTTTAGTGTGTAATTAACTAATTATAACATTTAAGTCAGTCTCACGTCTTTTGCTCTTAAATTGTGAAATTTGAGTCTTCGCTTCGCTAGAAAGTGGAAGCTGAGCCATGTCCATAGCGTCGTCTTCTTCTCTTGCGACCCAATCCTTTTATACTTCATTTCCTCTACCTCTCCGACTTCACCTCCATGAACCTTATCTCCTTCTTCGCTCTTCACTTTATCGAAAACCCATTCTTTATCTCTCTGCTACTTCTTCCCCTTCGTCATCTTCTTCTTCTTCCATTTTCCTCTCCTGCTTCGATGACCCTTTACCAGATAAGATTCAACAACCAGAAATTTCGACAAATATTAACCAAAAAGATGAAGATGAAGAAGAAGAAGAAGGAGATGATTTCACAGACCCAATTCTTAAATTCTTCAAGTCACGAACTTTAACTTCGGAATTGACCCAAGACCCAGGTCGAGAATCCAAATTCTCCCTCCAGAAGAATCGTCGAACCTCTTGGCACTTAGCTTCAGACTTCGCTGACCCCGGAACTGAGATTGAGTCCGAGCCTGAGGAATCCGTCTCTGTGGCAAATCAACAAACACTTGGTGTGCACACATCTTTCGAAAGTAGCATCGCTGGGGAAATATTTGAAATTGCTAAGAGTCTTACAGAGAATCAAACTCTGGGAGAGATGTTATCAGGTTTCGACAGAAGGGTTAGCGAAACAGAGTGTGTAGAGGCATTGGTGATGATGGGTGAATCTGGTTTTGTGAAGAGTTGTTTGTATTTCTATGAGTGGATGAGTTTGCAAGAACCTTCCCTTGCTTCGCCTCGTGCTTGCTCTGTGTTGTTTACATTGCTTGGTAGAGAAAGAATGGCTGATTATATTCTGCTTTTGCTAAGTAATTTACCAGACAAGGAAGAGTTTAAAGATGTTCGTCTCTATAATGCCGCCATTTCTGGGTTATCAGCTTCTCAAAGGTATGTCCTTTTTCCTCATTGCACGATGATTCAGTTCTGGAGAATGTAAAGTTGTAGTCTTTGGTCAAATTGTGTAGTTGGTGTTCTTTTGGTTAGGTATGATGATGCTTGGGAAGTGTATGAAGCTATGAATAAGATCAATGTGTTTCCGGATAATGTTACATGTGCTATTATGATAACAACCATGAGGAAGGCAGGACGAAGTGCGAAAGAAGTTTGGGAGATATTCGAGAAGATGAGCGACAAAGGTGTGAAGTGGAGTCAGGATGTTTTCGGTGGCCTTGTGAAATCGTTTTGTGACGAAGGGTTGAAAGAAGAAGCTCTTGTGATTCAAACAGAGATGGAGAAGAAAGGTATCCGGTCAAATACGATTGTGTATAATACGTTGATGGATGCTTATAATAAATCCAACCACATAGAAGAAGTGGAAGGTCTTTTTGCTGAAATTAAAGCTAAAGGCTTGAAGCCTACAGCTGCGACTTATAACATTCTTATGGATGCTTATGCTAGAAGGATGCAGCCTGATATTGTTGAGACACTTCTTCGGGAGATGGAGGATTTAGGTTTAGAGCCAAATGTGAAATCGTTCACTTGTTTGATTAGTGCGTATGGGAGGACGAAGAAGATGAGTGATATGGCTGCTGATGCTTTCCTGCGGATGAAAAAAGTAGGTTTAAAACCTTCTTCACATTCTTATACAGCTCTTATTCATGCTTACTCGGTTAGCGGGTGGCACGAAAAAGCTTATGCTTCCTTTGAAGAGATGTGGATGGAGGGGATTAAACCATCGGTTGAAACATACACATCACTTCTCGATGCATTCAGACGATCTGGTGACACTGAAAAGCTGATGGAAATTTGGAAACTTATGCTGAGAGAAAAAATCAAAGGGACACGGATAACATATAACACTCTTCTCGATGGGTTTGCCAAGCAAGGACTCTACATTGAAGCAAGGGATGTTGTTTCTGAGTTTGGTAAAATGGGTTTGCAGCCGAGTGTTATGACTTACAATATGCTGATGAATGCTTATGCACGGGGAGGACAAGATGCGAAATTGCCACAGCTGTTGAAGGAAATGGCTGCTCTTAACTTAAAACCTGATTCCATCACATATTCAACCATGATTTATGCGTTTGTTCGTGTTAGAGACTTCAAAAGGGCATTCTTTTACCACAAGATGATGGTTAAAAGCGGGCAAGTACCAGACCCGAGGTCTTATGAGAAACTTAGGGCGATTCTGGAAAACAAGGTAAAGACAAAGAACAGAAAGGATAAGACTGCCATTCTTGGTATAATTAATAGCAAATTCGGTAGGGTTAAGGCTAAGACTAAGGGGAAGAAAGATGAGTTTTGGAAGTACAAGAAGAACCAAACTACTTCTCCTGATCGTCGCCGCTCTTGAAGGTAACCTAAAAGCTATATAAATGCTTTAGTGGTACAAAGTGAAAGTGCTCAAGCTATACGAATCTAGTTGTATTCAACATATGTTACCATGTTCATTGTACTTAATCTTATTTTATTTTGTTCCTAGGACATACTTTGGTCATGTGTAGTAAAAGTGCAGAAGTTTAGCTTTATTATTTCGACAAGCAAAGAATCTCTTAAGCTGCAAGCAATCTTCAGATATAACTCTGTACTCTCTGCATCAAATATCACACACATCAGTCTCTTGTAAACCACCCAAACAAAGAAAATGAAAATCTTGATATTGATTATATCCTCTCTGGCACTCCTTGAGCTTTGCGTTGTGGACGCATGCCGATCATACTGTGGAAACATAACCGTTGATTACCCGTTTGGAATCCGAAATGGATGTGGGCATCCAGGGTATAGAGATCTACTGTTTTGTATGAACGATGTGTTGATGTTTCACATAAGTTCTGGTTCTTATAGAGTTTTAGACATCGATTACGCATATCAATCCATAACGCTGCATGATCCTCACATGTCGACCTGCGAAACCATCGTGCTTGGCGGCAAAGGGAATGGCTTTGAAGCTGAGGATTGGAGAGCTCCTTATTTCAATCCTACCTCAGATAATGTCTTTATGTTGATTGGATGTTCTCCTAAATCTCCTATATTTCAAGGTTAGTAAGTTACTACAACATATACTTCAAAAAAAATCTACTTGAAGATTAGATTTGTTTGGTTTTGTTTTACATTCTTTAGGCAACATTACATTTGATTTGTTTACAATCTTATAATACGATTTACAATTTAAATTCGTTTTTTTTTTGGGTTTGATTTATAAAATAAGAACAAAAAGCAATTTCTAATCGGTTTGGTTTGATGCAATTTCGGTTTGATTCGTTTTTGTTTTGAACAATTTTAAATATTAGTAAGTAATTATTATTACATATATTTTAATACATAGGTAATTAAAATTTACTTTTTCAAAAGATCTAGTTTAGTTTTAATATACCAAAATTCATTTAGTAATGTCAAATATACATATGAACAAAAAAACTGTCAAATATACCAAAAACTCTCGAATTATATCAAATATTACATTGGTCCATCTCAAATTCAGAATAATTTATTAATTTATGGTGCTTATTAATTTATCCGTATTAATATATGGAGGTTTTTGTTTAAAAAAAAACTAAAACCAATCCGATTATAAACACATTTGGATTTGGGGTCCGGTTAAATTTGGTTAATAGTCCGGTTACATTTGGTTAATAGGCTTCCCGGAAAAGAAAGTGCCGTGCCGCAACATCTCTGGAATGAGCTGCGAAGAATACATGTCATGTCCAGCTTGGGACATGGTCGGATACAGACAACCGGGTATACATTCCGGTTCAGGTCCACCTATGTGTTGTGCGGTCGGGTTCGAATCCGTAAAAGCAATTAATCTAAGTAAGTTGGAGTGTGAAGGATACAGTAGTGCGTATAATCTTGCACCCTTGAAGCTTAGAGGACCCTCTGATTGGGCTTATGGGATACGTGTTAAGTACGAGCTCCAAGGAAGTGATGCGTTTTGTCGTGCGTGTGTTGCAACTTCTGGGACTTGTGGTTATGATGAATCTGCTGATGGTGGAGGGCTTAGACATGTTTGCATGTGTGACAACCATAATTCCACTACAAACTGTGATTCAGGTTAGTTTTGAATTATCAGTTTTTTTTTTAAATTTAAAGTTAATTTGTGTTTTAATCAATTATATAAATCAAATATGAACCTAAACCTTAACCATATAACTTATCATTATATAATAAGTTTTTTGTTTTGTTATTTATTCATGAAAAAAAAATTCTGAAAAAGTCGAACCAAGACTAGATTGATCATATTATTATCGCAAATTTAAGAGTAAACATAGTAAAATGCACCTGCACATATGTTATTTTACCATTTCTTTTTTCAGTTTTGACTTGTTTTGGATTTTTGACCTAAATGTTATTAAAAGTATTTTTGGCCTAAAATGATTTTTGATATTTCGTTTATGAGTTTATAACATTAACAAATAACGTTGGACCGGCTCTGCATGCGCTGGGTGGTCCGAAATCGAAGCGAGTCACCACGATTTTGTGTAAATTGGTCATGCAAATAGGTCAAGTGGTTTAAGAGCTTAACTGATCATGTTAGATGTAGTGGTTAGTCCTATGGACCATACCGGTTTAGTGTTTAGAACAATTTTTCTGACCAATTGATCACTCGAAATTGTTCTTAATTTCAATGAAAAGTTGATGAGTTTCTTTGTTTATGTAGTTATATCACCAACCGGTGCATCATCAAGTGTTCGACCAAAAACTATCGGATGTAAGTTTCGAAATACATTTACGTGTACTCTTGTTTTTGTACAGATTAATTTTACTTAAAACCTAAATTATTACCTTTATTTTTGTTTTGCAGCACTAATCCTCTACTTCATAACTATGAATATAGGCTTTCAGAGAAGAAAATGATGAGTTACCCTTTTCTTTTCAGAGAAGACAATAGAGCATGGTTATAGGTGATACTCATATAGTATCATTAGGAATTTTTTAGTATTATTTATAATGTTTGTTTATTGTTTGAGTTTTTTTATGATACTCCTACTAAATATGTTTGCATTGGTGAGACCGGTTTAAGTATCATAAAAATAAAAAAAATTTGCAAAATCAAAAATAAATATATAAAAACATAGGATTACAAATGCATTGGTGAAATTTTTTTATTTTTATTTTTCTGCTTTCACAAAAAAACGCGTTTCAGGGGCGAATCAGGAGCCGCCACGTCACCCGATACTGGGTATCAAAAGTATCACTGCAGTGATACTGATTAGGCCCAAATTCATTGTCTGATCCATTAAAAAATTATATTTGGACTCTTGATACTATAATTGTATCACCTATGGACATGGTTTCTACCCATTGTTAATAAAAATCTAACTAAGACTCCAATTTTACTTTTACTTTATTCCCCGTACATTTTAGTTTTTTTGCATGAAATTATTATGAAACGTTTTGTGTATATTTTTTTCTGTCGACAGAATATATATATATATATATATATAAAATCAAACAAATATGATAAAAAATCATAATTTTAAATCTTAACAAAATCTTCTAAATATCTATATTATTAATTGTGGCGGATTTTAATTTTGTAATTAATATTAAAAAAATTTAATTGTGTTTGCTTATATGGATAGTAGAGAATTAATGATGAGGTTATTTGGATACATATATATTAGTAATGACATTCTTTGTAAATACTTACTAAAATAAAGGTTACTCACTAAGATATACTTCAAAAATAGTAATATAAATTGGAGAAAATTTATAAAAGCACACAGAAACACCAAAAACTTCTATTTGTTTTGTTTTAGGAAGTTTAGGGGTTTTTTTATTTTAGTTGATCTTGTCTATATTCTTAAATTTTTGGTTTTTAAATTACTAATATATCAACAATTATAAGCCAAATAAAGAACAACATTAAAAAGCTGTTGACAAAAGAAAAAGAAAAAAAATCAACATTAAAGACAATAGGACATAATTAAACTCACTATAAATTGAAAAATGTAATAAATTATCTCAAATTTTTTTAAGAAAATTAAAAACATCAGGCGGATTTACAGTTCTTAACCAATCAAAATCCAAACCAAACACTTGATAAAAAAACAACCAAATGGGGTTTTAAGGTAAACCATAACAAAAAAAAAAATTCACCTAACTCTGGTTTATTTGGTTGGTTTTTTTTTCTTGGGTAAGGTTTGTTTGCCCACACGTAGTAGTTTATTGATCAGTGATCTAGGGTCGATAATGTGACTTGGTTCATTTGCCATTTTTGCAGAGATTCTTGTACTTTTTACACCTTCTAATTCTAAAATATTTATTATTAGGATATATTTGTGTGTTTGATGAGTGGTATAATTAAGATTGATTTTATGCCAAGGCAACGCCTCCTCAAATTATGTGTTCTGGCTTCTATACCAAGGTGAGTTAATAGATAAAAATTATGTTTTGGATTTCCCGTTTTCCCATATTTGTTCCTCCAATTTCGTAGATCTGCAACTGCAACCGAGTTTTCGCCAATAGTCACAATAGTCACACCTCTAACTCCTACTGCACTCACCTCAGCTGCTACATGAAGTCTGTCACTAAAAGTACTTTTGAGATAGAGAGTAACATTAAGCATATTCTTGAGATGGGCCGTGGAAACTGGAGCTGTGAGTTAGTTACCTATGTATAATGTATTCCATATAAGACATATTTCATCTCTGAAAGAGCTATAGGATATCTTTACTCAGTTAGTTTTACAGACCTTCAACTTTGTGTTTATAGCAAGGTAATGTGTACTTTGAAAACTGATAATTTATGTTATATAGGGAATCCCGGTGGAAACTAAAAATCCTTTGTCTATGCCACAAAGTCAAGAACATACAGCTCCGCTGCGACAAAATCAAGAACATGCACGCGCAGATTGCAAATCCTCAACCACAGATTCAAGAACTTACAGCTCCAAGCCAACAACATGTCCAGAGCCGTTGTTTTATCATCTAGAGGTAATACACTTATATAATTTACACTTATTTATGAGAGAGTAAACATAGTAAAATGCACATGCGGATACGTTATTTCACCACTTTTTTTTTTTCAGCTTTGATTTTTTTGGATTTTTGACCTATAATGTTATTAAAAGTATTTTTGGCCTAAAATGTTTTTTGATATTTCGTTTATGAGTTTATAACAATCAACAAATAACGTTGGACCGGCTCTGCTCTGGGTGGTCCAAAATCGAAGCGAGTCACCACGATTTTGTGTAAATTGGTCATGCAAATAGGTCAAGTGGTTTAAGAGCTTAACTGAGCATGCAAATAGGTTTTTGAAATACCCTAATACCCAATGTCTTTAATTCATAAGTTTAATCGTTTAAATTACTTGCATTTTTATTTTAGAATCTGAAAACCAAACAAACAAACTTTCCGCTTTAGCTAAGAACGAATCTCGGAAATCTTTTGTGTACCATTGGTTCTTGTGGATCGACCCCGTATATACTACCTTGCGGTTAAGTGTATCGGGTAATTACTCGAGCAATCAGACGACAAGAATGAAAATCCGTACAATAATCCATTTGATGAGTTTTAGCGGTTTACGGATGAAGACCTCTCAAATGTCATGGCAAACCTTAACCCCAATTTGATGGACATGGCATTTCTCGAAAACTCGCCTCCGCATGTCTTTCCTATATTACCCATGGATGTTGATGAAACTCAGTTGCTTCATGAACTTGATCTTTCAATCACTTAAACTAAGCACGTTTGAACCATCGAATGATGATCTTATTAATAAAATCATCAACAATGAGTGATTGAAAGATCAAGTTCGTGAAACAACTTAGTTTCATCAACTAAAAATGGAAAGGAAAAGCTATATAAACAGAGAAAGATCACATACATATGTTGTTCAAGCTTAGTTTAAATCTTCATAAGTCTATTATGTGTTTTTTTGTTTATCTTTGTGGATTTGATCCCTAAGTACTAATGTGCACTTGTGGTCAATATTAAAGGTAAAACTTTTCTAGGTAAAAATAAGTAATTTGATGGAAGTTTAACTGTTTTGCACGGTGAGTCAATTAGTACAAATCTATGTGACTTCTGGTGCAATCATCCGCTCTTGAAGATGACAAGAATGAAAATTTGTACAATAATCCATTTGATGAGTTTTAGCGGTTTACCGATGAAGACCTCTCAAATGTCATGGCAAACCTTAAAAGATATGGCTGTCTTTTATCAACGACGGGTTTACCATATCTTAGGACATGTTAGAACAATCGAATGATGATCTTAACAAAAACATCAACAGTTAGTGATTGAAAGACTAAGTTTGTACAACAACTTAGTTTCATCAACTATAAAGAAAAAGGAAACACCAGGTAAACATAGGGAAATGTGACGACAATAGAATTATTGTCCACACTTTATGGTAATCACGACACTGACGTTCAATTTTAAAAAATTTCTATGTATGTATAAGTGATCTCATTGGTGAGTTGAAAAATAGAGAAAATTTTATAAATGAAAATCTTTGATAAATAGAGAGTTTAAAATCTTATGTAAAACTAATGATATTACCAAAATCAACAGATCAATTTAATTGATTTGGGGAACATCATAAAAAAACAAACCAATAAATATCTAAGTTAGGGATATCATAAAAACCCAAAGCCATAAATCTAAGTTGAGCACAATATGAAAAACTTATCTTAGATGGTTTTTAATGTGGGCGATAGTATGAAATCAAGAAAAATACAATAAGTACCAATCAAAAATAAAAGAACGGATTCGAGAAAAGTAAAACTAAAAACTCAACTATGGAAAATAATCTAACATAAAGGTAGATGAAATCCACTTATAGATACATAGAGAATTGTTTCTGTTGAACTAATTCAAAAATAAAATTAAAATTAAAACCTTTTAGAACAAACATAAAGCTTTACATTACTATTAATATATATGGCATATAGCATGTTTACTTCGAAAGAGTGTGGACGATATTTACCTATTATATATACATGAAAATAATTCTGAAAAGCTCTCGAAGGATTGATTTCATGTTTGCCTTTATGGTTTCTGTAAGATATAAATCATCTAAAAATAGATCCCACATATAATATTTCATCTATCTTGATGAAAATATATAATGTTTTATGAATAAATATAAAAGTTATAGTAGTATATGTGTATAGAAAAAACAATTTGGGGTAGATATGTTTATTGTAATGAAAGAAAGAGCTACTATTTATAAAAAAATGAGTTTAGGTTACTAAGAGTTTTAATAGGTGATGATATTATTTCGTACTTCATACGTTATTAATTCATAAGTTATTAGGATTTCAGTTGAACTGCCTTATTCAATTTTTTTTTACTCAATTAGTGAAAGTAAACGTTACATGGTTTGTAGTTGTGTTTTTTTAATTTAAATTTTGTATCTTAAGTGTGCTTTGATGAGAGGACTTACTAGTGCGGTTGCTAAATTTTGGTGGAGTTCAAATGGAGATTCCAGAGGTATGCACTGGATGGCTTGGAACAAGTTGTGCAATAGTAAATCGGAAGGAGGGTTAGGCTTTCGGCATGTAGACGATTTTAATTCAGCCATATTAGCTAAACAATTATGGCGGTTGATTACGGTTCCAGATTCCCTTTTTACGAAGGTGTTTAAAGAGCGATATTTTCGAAAATCCAATCCCTTGGAAAATACTAAATCATAGTCCCCATCATATGGATGGCGCAATATCTGTTCAGCTAGATCTCTGGTTAATAAAGGACTTATTAAAAGGGTCGGAGCGGGGACATCCATCTCAGTTTGGGAGGATCCCTGGATTTCAGCTCAATTCCCGAGACCAGCAAAGAGTAATGGTTCACTTGTTGACCCATTGTTAAAAGTAAACAATCTTATAGATAGTTGGTCGAATTTTTGGAATATTGCTCTCCTACAGGAGATCTTTGATCCATAAGATATCGCCATCATAAGTGCCCTACCTGTGGGTGCGCTAACTAAGGAGGATACACTGGGTTGGCATTTTACAAAATCCAGAAAATATACAGTCAAATCGGGATATCATACCGCACGGTTAGGAAATTTGGAGACAAATTTCTCATTGATTGGTCCAGACATCAAACCGTTAAAAGCACATTCTTGGCAAGTGCATTGTCCACCTAAGATATGTCATTTCTTATGGCAAATTTTAACGGGTTGTGTACCAGTTACGAAAAATTTACGGAGAAGAGGAATTGATTGTGATACGGTTGTGCCAGATGTGGCGAACCAGTGGAAACAATCAATCATACACTCTTTCAGTGCCACCCGGCACGACAGGTTTGAGCACTCTCTCAGATTCCTACAGCAATGGGAATTTTTCCAACGGATTCTATTTTTGCGAATTTGGACCATTTATTTTGGAGAATACCTTCGGAATTTGACTCTTCAGCCTTCCCATGGATTATCTGGTATATATGGAAAGCAAGGAATGAAAAAATATTTGAAAATATTGATAAAGATCCGTTGGAGGTATTACGGTTAGCGGAAAAAGAAGCACAATTGTGGTAGTCTGCCCAAATTGAGCTTCATCATGAAACTCATGGTTCCGTGGAATTGGTAAATCGGTCTCGAGTGGGGAATACTTCACTTGACTCGAATTATTCAGGATACCGTTGCTTTGTGGATGGATCGTGGAAAGAAAGTGATAAGTTCTCTGGTACAGGATGGTTCTGTACATCATCAAACGGAGAGCCGCCAACCATGGGAGATGCAAATCTCCGTCGAAGTTTATCTCCATTACATACCGAGTTTGAGGCCCTTCTCTGGGCGATGAAGTGTATGATAGGTGCAGATAATCAAGAGGTAGAGTTCCTTACAGACTGTTCTGATCTGGTTAAGATGGTGTCTTCTCCAACCGAATGACCGGCGTTTTCAGTGTACTTGGAGGAATTTCAGAGCGACAAGGAAGAATTCTCATCATTCTCTTTATCTTTAATTTCTCGCAATGCTAATGTAAAAGCGGATCATTTGGCACGAAAAATTCGTACAAAACCGCTTCATATCACATTTGTAAACAACATTCTACAAGAATGGCTCTTTTGAGCTCTAATTAATTTCGGATGACAAAAAAAAAAAACGTAACATTTATTAGTCTATATTATTTCCTTGCATTTAACCTTGTAGTAATTAATGTTTATAAAAATTACATAAATGCATACTCATAGAGGAGTATGATCTTTTTTTACTTTAAATGATGAAAAACAAATCAAATAAATATTAGGGAAAATGTGTAAAGTAGATGTATTAATTATGTGATAGTAAATAGATAAATATTTTGGCAAAACAAATTAGATACATGTCAAGTGACTATCTTTTTTTTTTACTTTAAGTGATGAAAAATAAATCAAATCAAATGTAGAAAAATGGTTAAAGTAGATGTATCAAGTATGTGACAGTAAAAAATAATATTTTTGGTAAGAAAAGTTAGATAAAAATTTAGATTTGAAAATAGAGCGATATATATTGTAGGAATTTTCATACCGACTTTTTGACGACTTTTCGTAAGAAAATTACTTCTAATTTCCTACAATATAATAATTTTGTAAAAAAAAAACTCGTAGAAATCTCGTAGAAAATCATTCCTACCAAAAAATTCATATGAAACTTTGGTAGGATTTGACCATGTTTTCTTGTATCATACATGTCAAGTGTACCAATCGGGTAAATAAAATATGTTTTTTTAGAATTAAGATTGACATATAATTGTCAAACTTATAGTTTAAAATAAATCAAAAAAAACATAGTAAAATTGAAAGATGATATGTATCACCTAACAAGAGAGTAAAAAACGTGCAATGTTAGGAAAAGTTTAAAAATAAACTTTCTCATGTTATTAAGAAACGTTAGCTTCAAAACTAGAATCAGTAACAACACTATTCGTGTTACAGAATTTTAGTCATGTTTCTTTCAACCATTTGTATATATACATTTCTATTAAATTACAAACTACATACAATTTCAACAATCTTATGAATTAAATCAAACAATCAAAAATAAATCTTTACTCTTCATCTTCCTAAAAGTAATCTCAGTAGTCAGTATCAAGCCCAAACCCATCAAACTTCCTCATATCAACAACCTCACATCTCTTGAACAAACCCACCAATGGTTTCAGATATTTTCCATTGTTGGGAACTTCAGATATTTTTTTGAAGTGTGGTTTCCAGGCTTTCATGTTATATTTTTTTGTTAATTGTGGGGATTCCAATGACTTTTTAGGCACAAAGACTAATTTCGCGAGACCTTGCATTCGGGTACGTGTTCAGAAATATTTCCAAATTTAAAGTACGGTTAAGTGACCAAGACGAGTCGAATCTAGGACTCTTCCACTTGGGAGTTATCACTATGCCAAAACGACTTGGTTAGGCCGTTATGACATTTGCAAACAAAAAGGAGAAATTTTTTTGTTATTTGTTGCTACAATCTTAAAAACGTTGTTTTTCCCAAGGGTCCCATAGGCATATATACTTACTTTTGGTTTGGAAGTATTTATAATCAAAGCAGTTTACTATAATAAATAGATTTACAAACTTGAATCGTGTTAATTTAATTTAAATTATCTTAATACCAATTTCTGAAGGACCCAAAAGTCTTTGATTGAAATATGCTACAAACAAAAGAAGCATTTTGTTGAAGCATAGAACCCTACGAACAATGCATGCACAAGCAGCCATGAATTACAATACACGTTCATGGCAGCTGATGCATCCAATGTTACTTCACTACTCTCTCCTACGCAAACTAAACCAAAACAACAAGAACATAAAATAAAGTGGGAAAAAATAAACCCACACCGACCATTCATGACGGGTCTTTGCTTGGTCATCCAACGACTGACCATGTGAAAAGTTCCACCACTTCCGGTACACACACACACCACTAAAACCGGCTTCGTGACATCGGTTATCGTCAACAATCAAACGATCTCGACGGTAGCAACGGAGGAAACTTGATTATGCTCTCTCATAACCCGTTTCCTAACACCATTAAGCCACTTTGCAACTCCCAAAACGACATCGTACATGCTTAAAGCAAGATATATACCAATACCAGCAATAATCCCATTAGCAATGGAATAAGTCAACGGCATAAGCAAGATCGTTACAAATGCCGTCACGGCTTCTTTAGTCTCTCCCCATCTAATATCTTTTACAACTCCCATCATCATCACACCAACCATCACCAACGACGGCCCAACCGCCCACCTCGGCACGTTAGTCACTAACGGCGTCAAAAACATCGACGCCAAGAAATACACTCCTACAATAACGGCCGTTAGCCCCGTTTTCCCTCCTTCTTTCAACCCCGCCGAAGACTCCACGAAAGTCGCTGTCGTTGTAACCCCTAACGCCGATCCCACCACGGAGGAGCCGGCGTCCACTAAGTAAGCCGCGTACTCTCCTTCGAACTTCCCGTCTTCCACGAACCCTCCGATCTCAGCCATCGTGTAGAGTACTCCGGTCGTGCCAAGGAGGTCAACGTAAAAGAGTGTAGCGAACGCAACCCAAACCTCGCTCTTTCTAAACTCCGTGAAGCTTATAGCTCCTAACGTTGACTGGATCTTGTGAAAGTCAACGATTTTTGTGAAGTAGTTATAGTTTGAGTCTCCAAGAGGAGTGTGTGGAAAGATTGTGACTTGAGTGCCTCTAATCCAAGAAACAGCCGTAACGAACACGATTCCGTAAATCATACTACCTTTGACGTTCTTCATTAGACCAAAGCTCGTTATGAGAAACCCTACAACGGCTAACCAAAACGTAGGACTCTTCATTTTCCCTCCTAAGCAAGCTCCAGTGACATAATCCGTCTCTGCGCAAGCGGTTAATGTCACTAGAGTTGACTTATCCGGTCCCACGAGGCCAATACCCTGGTTCATCTGCAAACCGACAAAGGCTATGAACATTCCTATACCAACCGCGCAGGCCAGTCTCACCGTTTGAGGGATGAGACGAGCTAGTTTCCCGCGGAGTCCTAAAGCGGAAACCGCTAGAAACGCGCATCCTTCAAGCAGCACGATGGCCATAGCGGTATGGTAAGAGATTGAACCAGAGCCACGAAAGCCGACTACGTTGTATGCGATGTAAGCATTGGCTCCCATACCCGGAGCAAGTCCAAAAGGGAGATTAGCTAACAAACCCATTGCTAATGAACCAACCATGGCTGATAAAGAAGTAGCCACAACGAGGTCCTTTTTAACCCTAGCAAGACATTCTTCGTAGCCTGGATTAGAACCAAGGACGCACTCTGGACCGGGTGCTGAAGAACCGGCCACAGCGGAGCAGTCGTGGAAGGAGCAAGTGGCACCGGAGTCGGCTAAGATATTGGCGTTAACAGTAATGATATAAGCCATGGTGAGGAATGTGGCGGTTGCAGCTCGTAGTTCGGTTGTGAAAGTTGTTTTCCTTGCTTCTAGTTTGAAGAAACGACCGGCGAAGCTCTTGGAAACGGTGTCGTTTAAGTGTTTCTTCATGTCGCTCCACGACTTGCATAACTTCTTCTCTCTACCCATGGCTAATAATAATGAGGAATATAGGGAGCAAATGCAGGAGGATGTCATGCATATATATACTAATAATATAAATACAAAAAAATATGTGAACACAAACTACAATATTCAAGTTGACAAAAAAGAAACTCAAATATGATCAAATTGCAAAGAAAACAAAGATATTAATTTTTCTATTCAACTAAGAAAAATTAATACAGAAAGCTTCACAACCACGTGACACTCTCTTGTATCTATGGAAGGGAAAATCTAAATATCTAAGCCTATTTTGACCGAATTTTTATGATTAGAAAACTGTTACTTTTTCGGGTTACAAATTTACAATAGATATAGGACCAAACAAGTCGTTGTCTAAAAAGCTAGGCATTGGCTTCGGTCCAAGACCAAGAATCAAATCAATTTTTTTCTTCTATATTTGGTTAACTTGACAAAACAGAATTAAAAGAAAAAGAAATTAGCTAGGCATTGGCTTCGGTCCTAAAAACTAAATGATGTTCGATCCTCCACTGAAATATTACGTAGCATTAGAGTATATTTAGCTTTCAATTCTTCTACTCTTAATGCTGATTCCTGACAAAATATTGATACCCGTATACTCTTAATACATGTTTTTTTTTTCGATTGGCACTAGATTATTATCAGTGGTTCAGTGAAGTTTTCTTTGTGTTTCACATCTTAAATAGACGAGTTTCCACTAAATTTTTCATTAGCAAATCACCAAGTATCAAGATTTGTCTCCCGTTGTCTATTTGTTTTTTTTTTTTTTTTTTTTGTTAAAGGTCTCCCGTTGTCTATTTAAACGACATGTTAAAAAAATACAGCATATAATTGTATTTATTTCATCATAACATTTGCTTACTAGCTTTAAAATTCTTATTTTATCTAACTAGATTCCTCAATCATATTTATAAATTTGTGTGTAAAATATTTTTATCGCACCGTCGAAAATCGAACCCTACTTTTCTGTTGGATAATAGATAGCTGGATAAACACTCGTAGAGATGTTTCATATATGTCAAGTTGTGATACAAAAAGAGCTAAAACCATAACGGATCATTAGCACTTAGTTGACTACGTGAATCGATTATTGTCTAATTGATGTAATATAATTGGTAAGACTTTTTTTCATTAACTTTAGTTTTCCTATATAGATATTAATGGAATAATTGAAATAAGTGTACTTGTTGTTAATTGATAAAACCTATATGAAATACAGAATTTCAAACAACTTTGTCTAATACAATATTGATTTCCTCGGAACTAATTTTATTATATACATGCACAAAAAGCTAAATTAATCATTAAGCCACAATACTCCACATGGACTTGGTTTTTGTCCCCAAAACTTTTTTCGTCCTCGCAGCTCGTGAGATTCCATCGGTCGAATTTCACAATCTGTAAACTATAGTTTATTAAAAGAGAAATAAAGATAGATTTTTGTCTCATTCTATATTAACTTATAACCCACCTATGTTCTTTTCAACAAAAAGATAAAGTGGCACATAGGCCTGCTCTTATTTTATGCAGTTTAACGTAAGGAAGTTTGTGCCATAGCATTCTGCTTATAATTGTCGAATAACACTGATCGCTTATTAACCAGAAAAAAAAATTAGGTTCATGGTAACTAGAGGAAGATATATCAGTGTAAAAATTAGGTTAATTGTAAAAAAAGAAATTGCTGAAACTCCAAGTTCTGAGTAGGAAGATTTTTTTGTTTACTATCAAAATAGATTTTAATATGTTCTAGCTTATAACTAGATTAGAATTGAACATCTGAAATTACCGAAACAATATTCGTATAACTGGTTAAGTCAATTTTGCTTGGTTAAATTGCAAACATTTAAACTAATTTTGTTTGTGATAAACAAAAATGTGACACGTAAAACCAAAAAGGAAAAGAAAAGAATGTCACTCGTAATTTTGTTTAAAGTTAAAAACAGCAGAGAATGCCTTCGTAAATTTCCTCAGACGTCAAGATCATCGTCCATCGATGAAGAAGATTCACTAGCTAAAAACAAATTAAGTAACAATAATACTACTAATTATCTTTTCTTCTTCTTTTTTCGCCAAGTGGAAATAATACTAATCCTTCAGTACAAATTTAATATTAGAAAATTGCATATTAATTGTTCCGATTAATATAATCTTTCTCATTGTAAGAGTATACGTTTAACTATTCCATGAAAATAATTCAAAGTATAGATGAATCTATATAATATAACAATTGCCATGCGTATGTGTAAATTATTCTAAAGTAAGAGCAGTGTATATTTTAGTTTCATTAAGAACTAGATCGAGAAGAGGGTTACTCTTTTAAGAAAAAGTAATTTGGAAAGAAAAACATTAATTAACATGTGAAATAACCTTTGTGCAGAAAGGATAAGAGAATAATATAATTGGGATTCTGTTGTTTGTAAGAAAATTTTGAAAGGGACTGAAATCATATATATATTATTCAAAGTTTATGGAGTAATCTACTGTATTTATATATTTATTCTCGAAAAAGCTTTGTTATTTGAACTATGAATTTGTAGATCCGCAGTCTTGTTGGACGTGTTGAATCTTTTGACGATGACATATAAAGTAAAGAGGTTCAGCAAACCAAAATTAGATGAAAAAATCGAGTGAAACTAGATGATTGTTGAGCATAAAATTGGTAATGCATGAGATTCAGTTCTTCCAACGTTCAGTATTATAATTATGTATCTACGACTAGATTTTAACCCGCGGTACACCGCGGGGCTATATTTTCTTAAAAAAATCAAAATGTAATTTGTTTGATAGATTATTTTGATTGTTAATTTTAAGATTTCACCCGTGGTATACTATCTTTTATAAATATCAACCCAAACCCGTCCCATCATATTACCCGTCCCGTGAAATTAAACATCATTTAGTTATTTTTCTTTTTAATAATACTTTTATTTAAAAGCTATATAATTCAAGTCAATTTAAAAATTTCTTTTAAATGGTTCCCATAAGATATATATACATATATATTAAATTTGTATAGAGTTGAAATAATATTAATATTACAAACTTTTTATATAATTTAAATATTATAAATATTTTTTAAAATATGCAATATATATTTTTTGTTATTGAATAAGAGGATATTATGTGTAAGAAATGTAGAAAATAAGAGTTTAATATTTTTATTATGGAGTCGCAAGAAAAATCTTTTATTTCTATACATGTTATTCGTTTATTAATAATAAAAGAAAACAAATCCTTTAAATTAGATATTAACTAAAATAAACGCACCATAATTACTTATTAAGTAACAACCAATAAATTTCACCAAAAAATAGGTAACAACCAATAAATTCTAAACGTAGTAATTAAAGAATGAGATATTAAAAAAAAATATCAAATAAGATATAAGAATCTTAAAATAATTGAATATCTAAATAATTTAATTGTTAGTGTCGATTTTAATACCTTCATTAATGTGGATTTTTTTTATTCTCGAAAAAGCTTTGTTATTTGAACTATGAATTTGTAGATCCGCAGTCTTGTTGGACGTGTTGAATCTTTTGACGATGACATATAAAGTAAAGAGGTTCAGCAAACCAAAATTAGATGAAAAAATCGAGTGAAACTAGATGATTGTTGAGCATAAAATTGGTAATGCATGAGATTCAGTTCTTCCAACGTTCAGTATTATAATTATGTATCTTAGATTACATTTAATTACAAACTTATTAGGCCCAAAAAAGTATATATTATTCGCAAACAAGAAAATCAAGCACACCGATCCTCTTAATATACCGTTGTTTCTTTCACATGTACTCTTCAGAACCAATCAAACATGAATTATATTCTATATGAATTCAAAGCTTAACCATATATATGAAGTTGTTTTTGATAGGTTTCTAATAGTGGTAACCCATTTATTTCCAATGATATATTTTTATTAAAATTCTATCATGGTGTCCTCTAAATATATTTTTAGATTTGCTATTGTATATCTAAACCTTAACTATAATTTTTTTAATTTATATAAAATTGTTCTATAATACTCCATCCGTTTCGTTTTAGTTGTCGTTTAAGGTTTTTTCACACAAATTAAAAAAATCATTTAATTTTCTGTTTTACCCTTTATTAATATATTTTATAAAAAATTTCATTGGCCAAAACATTAAGACAGTAGGGATAAAACTGGAATTTTCACTAAACATTTGCATTGAAAACCTAAAACGACAACTATTATGAAAGAAAATTTAAATCTTAAAATGACAACTAAACTGAAACGGAGGGAGTATTATTTTATGACAACCAACGGAGATTGTAAATTCCAAGGAGACCGAAAATAAATGCACTGCTTTTAGAAAAAAACTCAGTCTTTACTCTGATCAAAGGATAGTTCTTGTATATGTGACAATGACATGCTTCTTGTTGAACATGTCGTTTCAAAGAATCAACTTTCAGCTATCAATGGATGAACTTTCATTCACCTTCAATGTTCAAATCATTCTCTTGTATTAGTTCACCAAGATCTAGCCAAAATAATGTTTTATAGTTGACAATATCGCTATATATTCATTTCCCCACAAATCCAACCAATAATTTGTTATTTTAGTTTTAAATTCAATGAATCGTAAAAAATAGCTAATTAAATGTACAAATGTATAGAATTATATTTTTATTTGTACATGTTATTAAGTGTATAAATGTATATTAATATATATATATATATATATATATTTTATATATATTTTATTCGTACATCTCACTAAATGAGCAAATGCAAATTAAATAAATAAATAAATATATATTCGTACATCTCATTAACTATACAAATGTATAGAAATATGAGACCTAAATCTAATAATTATTTTGACAATTTTTTATAATTTCATTTTTATATAAAAAAGCTCAATACAAAAATCCGACTATAATTAAAACAAACTAAAAATTGAATTAAAACAAACTAAAAATTGCTCTCATAAGAAGATCAAAATTAGAGCCATAATAAAATTATTTGGGTCTTCAGCATGGACTACTAGGCCTTATTTGCTAACAGAAAAACCCTAGGATATCTCTTAGGGATCTTTTGGATGATACCGGCGGCGACGGCGGTGGCTGTAATTTGGCGACGAACCAAAGCCAGTTGGACAGACTTTTGAAGGCTGGTCTCTCTGCCTGCAGCGATGCCATCTGCTAGAGTAGGTGCTTGCATCTCCAGCAGTTGACTATCAGCTTGTTGTGCTTCTACTTTAGCAGTTGTCAGGGCTGTTCTAAGCTTTCTCATATCGTAGAATCTCTTCTGATGGATAAGATAAGCACCGACAAGAGTTTAGTGAGAATAACATAGCCTTCTCTAGCTACCATCAGTAAGAATTCTACATGAACATGGTTTGCACAGTGAAATCTTCAATGACTAAGTAAATCGCGACTGTGATAGCGACTCCGCCAAGAATTATGAAAAACAATTTGAACGAGGTTTAAGTCTTGGAAGACATGGTGTAATGAATTCGAACATGTTAACTACCAAATAGATGAGTGCCACAGTCCCCAAGGCAACTAACTTTCCGGCTATAACCTCGGTTTTATTAGTAGCCTTTATAGGAGCAATCGGTCCAACAACATTTTCTTCTCCTGCTTCAGGATTAATAGTAATCTTGATGAGGACGAACACCAATGTTATGAGAAGAAATCCTAAAATAGTGGCATGCACAACAGACAATAGAAAAGACAAAATTTTGATATATTGTTTAGGAAAGATCCAAAAAATTTATATACGAAAAATTGAATGAACTTTGCAAACAAATTACGTTCGGGTTGTAGCATCAATTTTTAAGTAAAACAAAGTTTAATAATACCAGAATATTCTACCAAAATTTTTAAAAGAATATATAAATAAATAGGAACTTTTGTTAATTGTCAACAAATATAACAATAGCCACTGACTAGGAAAGTCAACATTTTGCGAAATAATTGGAGTGATTTCTGAAAATCATAAGTAATGCGATGGAGCATGTTTTGTATCACTAACTCATTTACACACATTTAAAATGTTTGCAATAACACATATATTCACCAAGTAGCACAAATGGAAGAATTTAGTTTTGTTGACTTTTTCA